CCCACATGAAACTACTACTTTTTGCAATCATTGAAGTGGGAAGCGACTTTTTCGATACATAATCCATTTCGCCGCCGTTTATACGAGAAACATCAACACACACACTCACAGTCATGAAATATCTTTCCTCAAAATAGAGATTCATTTGTACAAGCCAAACGCTGTTTTTTCTTTATTGATTATCATTACTCCATCTATTCCCCCCTTTCTCTTTCTCTTTCTCTTCAACTGACCGCTAAAATTAGATTTTATTTACGATTTCCCACACCAGCTTACGTAAACTTGGCATCAACCAGTTAATTAAATTCAAGGGATTCTTTGTAAGCATATTAAAACTACTTGTAAGGAAAGTAGAATTCGTATCCCCCCTTACTATTATCATGCTTTCTGGATTTGGTATTATTACAAATTTAGTTCAATAAATTTGTTCAATACAAAGTTACGAGTATGATCCAAACTTTTATGTTTTTAATGTCACGTCCGACATGCCTGTGTGGTATCACGACCAATAGAAAAGCTGGAAGGAGAATGTCATGAGCCAAACTGCCTATGATTCGTTTGGGCGCGTAAATTCCGAAGAGTAATCTGATTTTCCCATAGTAATAAACATGTGACGGAAAAACTAAATGTAGGCGTCATACCAACAATACGATTGGGGAAAATAAGGGGTCAGGCTTCGCTTTTTTTTTCTCTTCTTTTCTTTCTTTTCACAATAAAAGTGTTTGATAAATGTCGTGTTACTTCCATACTAATTACGACTAAAGGATAGATACATTGGCTTGCATAAACTTTATGCCTGGACTAATAAATCATTTAATTGTTAATTGCTGGCTGAACTCTATAATTATTATTGTACTATTGTTTTATTTTTATAAGTTTGAACAAAGTAAACGCCAATGGATTATACTAACGTGTAAAACAAAAGGGGGTTGCATTTGTCTGTCGGGCGTTTTTCTTTTCTCAACATGCCAAGAAAAAAAAAGCCTTATGCGGGGATTGTGCCAAAAAGCTCTATGTAGTAGGAATAATTTCGTTCTTCTTATGAGGCAAAAATGGAAGAGAAAAGAGCATGTAATAAACATTGGTTTGAACGTAGTGGTTGATAACGAATTTAACGATGCAGCAACCGAGTTGTGTATACGGATATAACAAGCACGCAAAGCATGCTGAATCGTAAATGTCACAGTTTATGGCTTGCGATCGATTCAATTTAATTGCCTTTTCTGGATATGGTGTATATCGATATACATACATACACATATATTTATGTATATGTTTTGTATTCATTAGCCTCACAGAATGTTCTGGACGCGACGGAAACAAAGCTATGCAAAGTGTATGCCAGATAATCAAGATGATCAGAGGAACCTAAACATTTTTCCAATCAATAAAAAGCCTTTATTATCACGCATGGGAAATTACAAATGAGTACGAGAGAAATATAGACATATTTAGTTATAGTCATTACTGCTCTTACTGTTCGAGTCATAAATGGTCATATTATCACGATCCTAAATCCTCCGGTCCGATAAATTGCGTTGATTCATATTATAAATGAAAACGTTTATAGTAAAATGAATTTATAAATAATCGTCGAATTACACAATGTCAATAACTTTACATATTTGTTTAATATATTACAAAGAGAGATAAAAAGAAAACCGTAATTTACTAACAAAGTTACAGTGTATGTACGCGATTTATACGATTATGCAAACAAATACAATCAATAGCATAGCACAACATAATATACCATACCATACCGTACTATACCGTGACATAATATACGTAGTATACAATAGCATACAATAGCATACAATAGCATACATGAGCATACCGGTATAACAGCATACAATATATGGAGTATACATAACATATTGTAATTAATATATATAATACATTACAAATTTATATGCTGCCACAAAATTTTTTTATTCTCCCTAATTTAATTTATCTGTACTTTAATTCAATTTAACTTTGTTTATGATTATCTTGCACTATCAGACAAAGCAATCGCATCAATCAGGCGGTTGTGCGCAATATCAAGCAGGGGACTAAAAAATGGTGAATCAGAAATAGGCACAACACGTCAGCGTGCAGTGGAAATTGTATTGGTGCAGTAACAGTAGTTGTGGTGGTAGTTGTAGCAGTGCAGCGGTGGTAATTGTAGCAGTGCAATGGTGGCAGTGCAGTGGTGGCAGTGGCAGTAGTAGCGGTAGACATTATTCGTAACGGCGGTAGCTTGGAATTCACAGCAAGGCAAACAAAACTCTCTTAACACATTGACTAATCTGAAAGCGGTATCTTTATTCTCTATATCCATACGGACAAATACATTCTCACCCCTAGCTTCTTCACCCATTTGCAATATCTTTCCATAATGCTACGACAGCATCCCATGTGCCAACACAAGCACCAACAATACTAATTCCCAGACTTGCTACAATCCACAATCTTTCACCAAGTTTCACTTGCTCCCACCCTACAAGTTTCACCCATATCACCACAGGAACGACTATAATTAACAACCCGTTAGCCATCGCACCCAAAAATGACATCCAATCAGCAAAAAACGGCACCGACACTGCAACCCAGATTACAAAGCTCATCAAAAGCACTCTTAAGAGCACTCTATACGCAAACTCATTCCTAGCTCCGATTACGGATTTGTCAATCTTGAAAAGTTTCTCAATGTCCAAAGCGAAGGATGTCAAGTAAATAGGTAGCGCAAGCAGTACATGGATTGTGATCATGGCAATTGAGAGCGTTACTGAAATGCCTGCCGGAAGGTTGTTGTAAATGGGAGAGTGGGTAGAGTGGCCATAGGTGAGGTAACCTGGTATGCCTATTAGGAGGTAGAACGCAGTCACGGTAATCATGGCAAGAGCATTTACTCTCGGCCAAGAAGCTGGTGTGCGCATGCTAGTAGGGCGTTTCAAAAAGAAAGTGAAGAAAGTTGAGCAAGGGGTTTATAGAAAAAATGCAAGACAAACCTTCAGTATTACAAAGACTGTTATATTATCATCAAATAGAAAGAGATCCTCCTCCTCTCCCCAACCTTCCAAACATTCTCATCACGCCTACTCCAAAGACCGACCCACCTCCCACCTCTCTCCAACATTTCTCATCACTTGTACGCCAAACCCCAACATACCCTGCTTCGATATTTGGATATATCACATTACCACCGTACCCAAAATTAAACGTGGCCATGGCAATGGGGATGTTACGTATATTGACGAAGTCATGCTCGTTGGAACGGTTATGAGGATATTCCATTAATGATATTATGCATACGACAAAGACGACAAGTGCTGTTGAGAGAGCGCCAAAGAAACTGAAAAAATCCAAAGAAGAAAGGGGGGTACAGGTGAGAAATTGGAGTAAGAAGTGGGAGTGTGTAATGAAGAATTATGAGTACCGAGTCAAAATACGCAGTGAACCTGGATATAACAAAAAGGGCGGGACGGAGGCACTTCATTATATCCAGGTTCACTTTGACGGTTGTGATTGACGGACAGTGTATCGCCTACAGCAAAGTTCTTGTTCAAATAGCCCTTGTTCGAAATCACCATTATGCTGTTGTCCTTTTCAAAATCCTGCCTAGTGACAAATACAACTTTCTCCTCTCTCCCCGTGCCCATCCCCAATATTCCCAATCTTCCCATTTTCACAACGCGCGTTGTTTCGCCCACCATCAAGTACTGACCTCAACCAAGCTCCTTCCTTCAAGTTTTTGATGAACACAAACGGCACACATATTGTAATTCCACAAATCAAAATCCAAGAATTAACACTGATGTCTATTCCAGTCTTTGTCAACAGAATTTTAAGGTTATCACTGGAGAGGATGAGGTACAGAATGGGACATCCGAATTGGATGACGACATAGAGGAAGCTGACGAAATAAGTGCCGGCTTTACCGAATGCATCTTGAGCAATATGGCTCAGGGAACTTCGGCGAGTTTGACTTGGCGAATTATAACAAAAAGGTAAGATATGAGTTGCAAAGTATGACCTTTATGATATTTCTGATTGCTCGTCTTAATTACGTTAATTTATATCATACTTACCTATTATAGTATAAACTCTCTATCAGCTTGTTGTTTGAGTAAGCGGACATTATCCCGGCCAGTATTAACAAACTCACAGAGACCCATCCGCCTTGAGAAATAGCGTACGACATTCCTAACGTTCCTGATCCAGCTACAACGCATCTGTAAAATGAAAAATTTATGTCAAACGTCAACAAACCTATAAAGACGCGTCGTAGGAAGCAACTTGGAAGGGGTGTTCTATTCCTTACAACAATTTCAACGGATTTATCACACACTTATTCGGCGCCTGTATAATAATTATTTTCAATACTTACACAAGATGCATGTATGCTATCACATTTGATCCTTTTCCTTCATGCCGAGTCGGTGGCCGGCCATCTTCTATTAGTGCTTGTCTCTCTGGTTTGACGTTTGATGTTTTATTGATCATTTGTCTGAGATTGTATTAGAGCTAGGTAACATGACAATACCTCTGGGAACTGCCCCATAATTTTTCCAGTATTTCGTCATATACTGCGTGTATTCTGTGGCTACTTGTATATTCTATGTTCTAATTTCTAATGCTTACAACTATTAGACCGTTTCCTTCGACCTCCTCCCCTCGCCTCACTTATATTCAAAATCCCAAAAGAAGCATCGGAGACCAATCAAATACAATAGTCTTATCATGGAATGTTATCTCGTGATCCTGCATACCTATCTCATTGCTTTAATATTAATATCAATAAAGCAATGAGATAGGCTAAAGAACAGAATCAAAACCCGGGAAAGAATGTGCAACAAAGATTAGCTACATAGCACGTTCACCAATCCTATATTTAGGATTACTGTGAGTCATCGTAATCACGACATTTGGTGTTACAAGGCGTGAGATAAGTCTTCCGAACTGCATGCAGCGAAAGGATATGATATCATATAACGGGTACAACCAACAGGTATCACTATTATTACTTTTTCTTAATCTCATCTGCGATTGAAATCCAGGGGTTCCCGTTTCAGGCAACATTAATACTTATATTAATATAGCATGGCTAATTTTAAATTAGTCGCAATGCATTTCTGTTTACTGGGCTCGTGCATATTTATCATTCAGTTCATATTATTTTTTGATATTGAAATATTACAAACACGATTTCCAAGATTGTCAATACAATGTTTCATGAGCCAATTTGTTCCGCTACTTTACAGGCTTTCGCGTTCTAAGAGAGTCTATACTATCATCTTTTTGCCCATTTTGCCTCAATAGGACATTCCAAAGAAAAAGGAAGCGCATGCCTTGCTCGCTGAAGGAATCTGTTGCACATATTCGGCTAGACACGGATTAATATCGCACAAGACGAACGTAATAACTCACTAACATGGGAACTATGAGACTGAAATTAGTAATAAATGTTCTGGCTCGTAACGAAATTCAGCCCGATTCAAGCCCAGTTCGAAATAAGCATAGACAATGTGCTTATTGCGAAACGAGATACCCAAACACCAGCAATCATCCAATATAATTATAACGAATAATACGCGAATTGAGCGCCACCGGTCTGTTTCTAAATAAAATTCTTCTATTACAGTATTAGTTGTTGTACTAGTAGAATTGTAATTTGCTGGTGCAATTTCACACACCATAGAGTATGACTTTATTGCCGACCTTTGTTACCCATAAATCGCAAGACTAATTGGTTATATTTTGGTTATATTTTCGAAAAAAAAAAGTAATGACATATTCCGCCTTGCTGTCGTTTAAAGATAAAGTGACGGACGGTATCGATGTTTAGATAGTCAATGCAATCAAAGCACCCGCGTATTTAAATTCAGAATGTCACGTGCAACTCTAAAAAGCTCTCGTGACGCGCCTTACGCAAAAGATAACAAGCAACTGTAGTTCTAACAAGCGTGATACGAGCACTCAAAATTTCTTCGAGTTTTGTTGTGGCAGCATAGCTGGTGAGGGGTGGAGAACAAGTTCCAAATCGCTCTCGCTTCTATTCAGAAGCGACGTTTTGATGCGCTGGTCAGTTTGCTTGGCTAACAGACGAAACGTTCATTTTAACGCAAGACGCCAAGCGTATTTGAGGCATCTCGAAGACTACAGAAAGAGGTGGGACGAAACGGGACGATAGCATTTGTATCGCCATGCATCAAGAGGACCCCACGGAATTCTAACAAGAAAATGTCACATATTGCGTGTTAGATATTTATTTATGTTTTGCTTTATAGGGTCGATACCTCACAACGGCGAAACCCGCCTCGATCTGCAAACTGCGGTAAATCAACCGCGAGGCTCGTAACAGTCTTGGTATATTATTATGAAATAAATAAGCACCTTTGTATTTTATCGAGTTTTGAGTAAATAAAAGATTTAAACGCAACATGAAATTTAAGGACTGATTTGCCTGAGATGAGTCAATTCTAAAGCAATCGATGTAAGACTTTAATTCTCCGAGCTGGCATTCAATAGAGGGGCACCAGCATTATTCTTTGAACCAGAAGTATCAACGGTAATTATTTGAAAACTTTTGTAGTCCTGAAAATTCCAATGGCCCGTTTTTTGTTGACAGCTTTCTTCATATATTCGTGCCGGCCTGGTCAATAATAATAGTACTAGCAATTATGAATTGATAATTTTTAATTCACAAGTCCCACTGCCGCTCATTATCATTTTCGCTGAGATGCGTGTCAATTAATTTAAACTGTTTGGACATGAATAACGGGTTCGCGGGTTTCTAAAATTACTTTTAATTGAATAGGGTCCAGCAATGGCTAGCATACTCCACTAACATGTTCAAAGTATACTTTCATTATATAATTATCCACTACACATAACACACGCTTCACGATTTTCTAGCTGTAAACGAGAATGTAAAGAATTACATAAACTTATTAACCAATAATTCATCAATTAGAAACAAAGTCGCTAAATATTCTTACCGAGCATATGAGCGCCATTTTTTGCTTCTCGCTATCTTCCTCTAGAGGCTTGTCCTCTTTCGTCGAATTGCCATTGATTTTACTCTTAGCCAATGACACTTGATCTACTGTAAATTTGATAGCATCAACAGCTGGTCTTGAACGTAGATAATACATCCCCGTTTTAAGACCCTTTCTCCACGCGTGGCTAAGTTTAATACGATTCCAATTAGTAAGTCGATCAGTAATAATAACGAATAACATTTAACTTACAAATGCATCGATGAAATTTTCGCTATCGTAGGTTCAGCAAGAAACACGTTGAGCGACTGTGACTGGTCGATGAACGGGGCTCTATCAGCTGCAAGATTAATTAATACTTTCTGCGGAATCTCCCAGATGGTTTTATATAATTGTTTCAGACTGTCATCTAATCCGGCAATGCCTTGTATCGATCCGTTCGCAGCAATTATCTCATTCTTCATTTTCTCATCCCATACGCCCATTTCCGTTAGATCTTTTAACAAATGGTAATTCTATATAAGTGATATACAATGATGTTAACGAATTTTGTAAATCTTATTCACGTTCTATTCAAGCATTGTCTTCGATCACCTACGACAACTTGGAATTCTCCACTCAAAACACGCCTTTGATATATATTGCTTGTATACGGTTCAAAACACTCGTTGTTGCCCATAATCTGACTAGTTGAGGCTGTTGGCATTGGAGCAATCAACAGGGAATTCCGTACACCATGCTTCTTAATCTTCTCTTTGAGCTCTAACCAGTTCCATCGATCGGAAGGTTGGATCCCATACATTTCATAATGAAGAATCCCTTGACTTATAGGCGAACCTTCATATGTGGAATAAGGTCCTTCTATAGCTGCAATTTCACAGGAGGATTCAAGAGCAGCATGATACATGGTCTCAAATATGTCATAATTTAGCTGACGTGCTTCCTCGGATTCCCACGGGTATCGTAGAAGTATTAAAGCATCAGCAAGGCCTTTCGAATGAAGCAAGTTAGATTTTACATACATCAATAATATCAAAAAGCATAATTGTTAATAGGCACCTTGAATTCCGAGTCCAACTCTGTTGGGATTTACACAGGTATAATTAGTAAGTGACATAGCGAGACAAACAGAATTGCTTCATACTTACGGTCGATGTTTCTTGTTGCTCTTTTCTGCTTCCGGAACTGGGTAATAGTTCTGGTCAATTATCTTGTTTAGATTCTTGATTACAGCTTTGGCTATCTCATGCAACTTATTGAAATCAAATGTTTTCGCTTTTGTGTCAACAAATTTTGGCAGACTAATGGATGCCAGGTTGCACACTGCTACTTCATCTGGTGCAGTATATTCAATAATCTCGGTACATAAATTAGAACAGGTAATAGTTCCAAGATTCTTCTGATTGGATTTAGAATTACAAGTATCTACGCCAAGAGAAGTGAAATGAAGTAAAAAGCTTAGAACTATCACCAGTAGGTACGTTTCATATCAGATATCTACAGCAAGTATCTCATACCTTTATATAACATATACGGCATTCCAGTTTCGATTTGGGCATCAACAATAGCATACCATAATTTCAAAGCTGATATGGTTTTACGTGCTTTGCCTTCCTTCTCGTATTTAGTGTATAATTCTTCAAATGCCTCTCCGTGCACTGCGTCTAGGCCAGTACATTCGGCAGGGCAGAATAATGCCCAATCTTCTTTCTTCTCAACTCCTATAATTCAATGTGAACCTCTTCATCCGATACTTGTGTAATGCAATTCCGAATAATTATTGGAGACTTACGCTTCATAAAGAGATCGGGCACCCAAAGACCGAGAAACAAATCCCGCGCTCGAATTTCTTCTTTGCCAACGTTCTTCCTCAAGTCAAGGAATTCGAATATATCCGCATGCCACGGTTCAAGATAACTTTTACAACGAGGGTCAGTGTGCGCATGATATTATGCATGTAATACACAGATGCGTACTCACATCGCAAAGCTTCCGTTCCGTTTTCCACCACCTTGATTGACAAAGCGCGCGGTGTCATTGAATACTCTAAGCATGGGAACAAGTCCATTCGAATAACCACCAGTTCCTGCTATATATGAACCGGATGAGCGAATCTTCGTAACGCTGATGCCTACGCCACCGGCAGCTTTTGAGATTAAAGCACATGTTGCCAAAGTATCGTAAATTCCTTCGATACTAGATAGAAACGGCTTGATGTGTTATAATAAATCGAATCCAGTTTGACGTAAGACCTATGAAACAAACAGTATCTGATGTTACCTGTCTTCCTTCATCTGTACCAAGAAACAACTTGACATCTGGGGACGCGGCGTTCCAGCATTAAAAAGAGTAGGACTCGCATGTGTAAAGTATTTCTCTGACATGAGATTATACGTTTCGATCGCAGCATCAATATTGCGCCCATGAATACCAATTGCTACGCGCATAAGCATATGTTGCGGTCTTTCCACAACCCTCCCTAATTGATCATAATGAAAGGAATTAGTAAAAAATAACATAAAATAGTAATTGTAACTTAAATAAATCAATTACCATCGATTCGCATTAGATAGCTTTTTTTTCTAATGTTTTAAACCCAAAATAATTGTAGCTATAATCTCTGTCGTATATTATTGCGGAATTAAGGCGCTCGGCGTTCTCCATGACAATGTCGAAGGTCTCCTGTGATATTAAGGGAGCGCGTATTTTGCGAGCAGGGTGGGTGTGGTTGTAGAGGTCTCGAATTACTGCGCTAAACTAAAGTACATACAGGATAAAGATGTCAACATTTTGGTGCTCCATCAAAGGTTCATTAACAAGTAATAAATGCTTTGATCTGCGCACTTGTTTTTTCGTCTCCTTATGTAAATTAGAGATTGCTATTCTAGCTGCCAGTATAGCATAATCCGGATGGTTACATGTCAAATAAGCGGCCGTTTCTGCTGCAAGGTTGTCCAACTCAACAGTGGAGATTCCCTGAAACATCCCGCTCACGACCTGGTTGTCCAAAAGTTATTTTAGTGCATATTGGTAATTAAGATTGAACTGAAATGCGCACAGCATCTGTTATTAAAGGTTTTTACTTAACAGTACCTTTTGGGAAATTTTGGGCGGATCAATAAATTCCATATTCAACCCATAACATAGTTTTGATATTCTTGACGTTATCTTGTCGAAGAAAACGCGTTCTTTTCTGCCGT